CCACCTTAGGTGTACGTGGCTGGCGCCTTAGCCGGTTGAGCTATAGGCGCCGGTTGAGCTATAGGCGCCGAGCCCATTGCTTTTGTCTTAAAGGAAAAACATCCAACAACAGAAAAACCAGTTGTAACCTTGTAAGCATCGTAGTGAGCATGTTCCCATTCTGGACAGTGCCCCACAGCAGGACAAGCCCAGCCCGTGTTTTATGACGCAGGCAAAACATGGAGGCCCACAGATGCTATGAAGAGACTGCTGTGTGCTCCTTACATCAGCCTCTGCAGGTCTCCATGTTTAAATACAAGCTTCAGTTCAAACACATACGTGGCATAATATGTGCTAAAAACCACTGTCTTTTTTTGGTTATAATTATAGCTTATATGCTACCTTAAATCTCTCATGAAAATGTTAGAACAGGAACTAAAGGAGAACAGAAAGAACCTTTATTCATTTATTATTCAGCATCCTGAGGACACAAGGGCAATAATTCTCTCCAGTGCTTGAGTAAACCAAGATGGAAGCATTACACTCCTGAGACAGAAAAGGATTTCTGAAGGAAGGGGCCAGTGAGGGCTGGAAAAGCTTCTGAATAAATGGGAAGCTTCATCTATATTGTGTAGTTCCAGGCCACATTTTTGTGTCTTTCACAATGCTAATTGAATTTCCTACCTGGAGTCTTTAAAGTAAAAAAATGAGGATTTTCACTGAAATCTGAGTCAAGGGCACCATTTTGCTCATAATTAAATACAGTACATGGGAATTTGCATTAATTCAGAATGAGAAAAATCATCAATTTATTATGTGGCCTGATGGTAACTTAACAATTTTCTACAGCACTTTAATGATTTTTTGGTCTGTAACAATCACATTTATTAAACATATTAAAGTTTAATTAGCTTTAGCAGATGTTATTCTTCTCCGACACTAAGAAGTTTCCTAACTTTTAAATTCTGTCTGTGCTTATTTATAGTACTTTAACTGAAAGAAATCCTCTTCCTTTAAGTCTGAATTAATCCTGGCAGACCTTTCACCAGGCATAACAAGCTAACCGGAAAGCCTAAATATTAAGACGGTTTTTCCAAATATGAGTCTAACATATAGCTGCAAAAACAATTTATCCTGGAAAACAATTAAATTTGACATTAATATATGTTAGATCATTGAGGAAAAAATCCAAAAAAATGGACTGTCTACTTGTTTCCAGAAGCAGCACCGTAACTCAGTTGTGACTGCATAGTGGTTCTCATCAGGACTAAGAAAATTTTGACTCTTACTCTATTTGGGGCTTTATTTTTATTTTTTGTTTTTTTAGAGACAGTCTCATTTTGTTGCCCTCAGTAGAGTACTGTAGCATCACAGCTCACAGCAACCTACAGCTCTTGGTCTTAGGCAATTCTCTTGTTTCAGCTTCCCAAGTAGCTGGGACTACAGGTCCCTGCCACAACGCCTGGCTATTTTTTTGTTGCAGTTTGGCTGGG